TAGGCTTCCAGATTTGGTTTGGAAAGATGACAGAATCACAGAATCACAGAATTGTTTAGGTTGGAAAAGACCTTTAAGATCATCAAGTCCAACCATTAACCTAGCACCACTGGATTCCCAAGTCTTGCTTGCTTTCTTCTACTGGCTTGTGCCAGTCACCAGATACCATAGATGGTCCGTGTTTTATTTCACATAGCTTTTTTTCCCTCCCTCTTGGTCTTTTCAGATGTACACTGGACATAAGCTCTGGGCTGTTTGATAGCCCTGTCAAAAAGCTCTTCCACAGCCATCAGCATCTCCCAGTTTATAGCCTAAAACCTGCCTTCTGACCTCTTCTTATTTTCAGGGCCTCGCTCACTCATCATTAAAGGGCAATGAATCTTTCCTGTACAAGTACAGGAAATCTAATGAAATTAATAAATGAAATACTTTTTCTACAGGAAAAAATGGCACTTATCTCACCTATGTTAGGCACTGCTTTGAGATATCTGTCCTCTCTATTATCTAAAGGATAAAGCTAGATAAGGTATCTAAAGCTTAAGGTTTGGTGACTAATTTTTAGATAAGGCTAGGTTATATGAATACAGTCTTAAATGCTCAGGTCCATACGGGTCAGGTTTTGAATGATCTACAGAGTATCTGATTTTCTTCTTCCAAAATGTTCAGGCTGATCTAACTGCACCTGAAGCACCTGGCAAAGAGGCACATTTCCAGCTCTTCCTGCCAAGGACCTGCTTGCTTTTTGAGCTGTCAGAACCACTTATGGAGAGGACCTCTATTACATATTTCATGCTGGAAGTTAGTGTCTGCAGCCACGGGTTTCTATATTTTGTAGATTCCTTCTCTGCAAAGATCAAAGCAAAATAGTGCAATGAAGCTCTTAGTAGAAAACGTATTTCCAAAAAACCAAGCCTGTTTGGTTTAGTAAACTCCCAAGCAGGAGTTTACAATTCTGCTTCCCCTGCACTTTAGACTGAAGTTTCTCTTGGAAGTTCATTGAGTTGGATCCACCACACACAAGACTACGGTAATCCAGACCCGTTTTAGGAATGTAATATCAAGTCCAGGTAAACATTTGAGCATTTTAGTTGTCTCTGCTTTGGGAACTTAATTAAAAACAAGAGGAATAAGGACACCTAGAGTTGGGTAATTCATCAAGCAGCAATGAGTCCTACATATTACATTTCTCATCTAGGCTCCTTTTCTCAAGAAAGGTCAGACCAGATGATCTTTTGAGGTCTGACCTGGGCCTTCGGTGGTTCTATGATTCTATATGTATACCCTAAGCAAAAATATCCAACAAATTAGAAGGAAGAATAACAAGGTGTGGTGAAAGTTTTAAAAGAAAGAAACAATCTGATGTCAAAAGTCTCTGTCTTGCCAAGCTCTTTAGCTTTTATCGATTCCAGCTTCTTCATTCAGCTGCAGGTGGAAGCCACTTTTCCCCCAGCCCTCAGACAGTGTCTCCTCTCCCACTGCTGCTTGCCAGAGCACACAAAAGAGGCTGCTATCGAGTGATGGGAACTGAGGGTTTAGCCCAAATGCAGCAGAAAACATTTACGCGTCTGCAAAACCTCTATTAAGCACCTGACGTGAAGAGAGATGTGCTCCTTCCCTGAGTCCAATAGCTGAGCTTGTGGGTGACAGGACTGTAAATACAGCCCCTCGTGCTCCCCTGGGAGAAAGTGCCCAGGGCCCCATGGCAGGCTTTACCAGAGGAAAAAAAAAAAAAAAAAAAAAAAAAACCAAATGCAATTCTGAAGCCATTGTGCTGCTTCAGGTGTCTGAAGGACATCACACGGCTGAGCCATCACTGAGCACAGATACACAGCAGCAGGGATGACCAGCTCGTATGATGCTTCTGAGATACTTGTGGACCACGCAAAGGTTTCAGTCTGACCTTGCCGACAGAATGAAAATGGGGTTAGAGACATTTCAGATCTCTCAGAGGATCCCCAAATGGTTCATAAAGCACAGCTGACTCCATCTCTGGAGCTGCTGATGTTCCTCTGTGGACACCAGACAGCCTGGTTTTCCAGCAAGGGTGGGATTATACACATTTAGGTACCTATGGCCCAGATGTCCACACCTGAGCTGGTGACTCTGGGCTTCCACTGTATTCAGTGGTGAGAAATGGGCATTTTCAGACAGTGATTAATCTTCCCCAGAGTGAACTAATAGGCCTTGATGGCCCTGACCAGCCTCACCTGGGGCCTCCATCCCCACCCTCTGCTCATTTGCCCGTGAGCTCTATTTAAGCTCAGCCCAGGGAGCTTGTTCTCCTCTTGGGTTATGCTAGAGGAGTGCTGGTTTCCAGTTTAGCAATAGGTGTGCACACCGATGGACTCCTTTGATCCACACCTTTGCTTGATCATGGACCTGCCTAGCAATTGCTGGACCTGACTCTGACCAGGGGATTGACTTGGCTTGATGTTGGACCTGCCTCATTATCACCAACGTGCCTGATGGTCTGGAGTTGGCTGAATTTGGCCCAGGTCTCTGGGTCTACCCTACTCGCTCAGGTACTATGGGAGGGTTCCCTGCACACCATGGTGTCCCCCTTGGGTCTATTTAAAGAGGACAAACCCCTGTGGCAGTCCCCAGCCTCCAGGCAGAGTACAACCCACCACCACCACCCTCTGCATCCAACAGCCCAGCCAGTGCTCACTCCTCTGGCTGTCTCTCTCCATCCAGACTATGTACCTACATGGGTACCATGGGAGGTAGTATTCTCAGTGAGGGAAGTAGAGTAATAAATTTAATGTTATATTCAAGTATTATTCTCTGGTCCTTAGCACCTCTTCCATTTCTTAATTTGATATGGTTTAATGGTTGGACTGGATGATCTTAAAGGTCTTTTCCAACCTAAATGATTCTATGATTCTATATTAGAATTATGGTCTTCAGTAGGTTGGCAACACTCTGTTTTGGAAATGGGTAGAGTATTCTTCATGATTTTCAAGGCTTAGTAAAGATTGGTAAACCTTTCCAGCTTGAGTGCTTCCATAGCTACAAGATGCTGTCTCTAGGAGATGCTATTTCTCAATAACCTCACAGCAGTTTCTGCTCTTGGTGTATTTTTGCTCTCAGAAGACAACCCATCTCAAGGGTTAAGGAATTAATAGCTCCAGACCTCTAACTCTTGAAATCACTAAGGGGACTTTCCAATTATATCTGAAGGGGGGAAAAAAAGCAAGAGTGATTGGCATGGGGTGACGTGCCCAATGAGGCTGTTGGCAGCTTATCCCAACCATCGAAGCTGGAAAACAATAAATAGCAAAGACAAGAGCCTCTGGGAGACACAGCCATACATGGACATCCAAAGCCAGGTAGAATTAAAAAATAGGACAAGAAAAGGAGACTCGGAATAAATTTGCTTCCCTGAAGTTATGATTTATAAAGCAAGCTAGAAGGTGGAAAAATAAGTTTTTTCTTAAGTCAGTGATGATTCTGTGCAATGCAGTCATGCAGACAGGTAAGAAAGCTCTGATCAAAGGCAATGCCAAAGAAATGTAGCAGAGATTGTCACAAGAGCAAAAATTGCCGTTTCTCTTTGAAAACATCCTTGCCTACTGGTAAGACTTATGCTGGGACAAATATATACATGTACAGAAGAAATCTTGAGTATGTCTTACGTGTTTACCCTCTCTCCAGGCACAATCCTTTTGGGGGACATATTAATGTTTTTATCCTATTTGAGATGAGCACCCACACTTTCAAGTTAATTTAATAGCATATTGTCTAATTTTCTGTATTGTTACTTTTCTAGTTTTCCTCAGAGATAAAAAGGTGCAGATTCTCTCTGTCTTTTGAATAATCTCCTTGGCGAAACTAATAACAGGGGCAGGCGTAAAAGTAGTTCAGAGTGAAAAAGGCTGGATCTTCTGCAGGAAACCAGAAGAGGTGGCATCTCAGGTACTGTTTGGGGGATAGTGGTGGAGTTGGTAGCAAGAACATAGGGCAGTGGGAGTCTTAGAGTCAAGCAGAGGACTGGACTAGGGAATAAAAAAGAAGTTCAAGTATACTCCAGCCTGGTGTGAGGGCAGACTGAGGCTTTTTTTATAGAGAAAGGGGAGCTACATTTAAACTGCCTTCAAATGTCTGCGTTTGAGACACATAGTTATGTTGCAACTTCTTTTCTGAAAGGAAGTTTTACTTTCTAACCTTAATTTGGCATGTTAATTGGTTGCTTGAAAATACTTGGGAAGTTACTGTTTGTACTGTAGGTTAAATGATAGAAATAAAGGGAAGAGCACATTTTTTAGCAAGTCACTAGCTAAGCTGGAAGATATTGGAAAAGGAAAGCTACATGCATATTCCCTTCTGTCCAAGTATTTATTCTCATGAGATGAGAGCAGTTATTGAAATGCAGTTCAATCCCCAAAGTAGCCACTAACTTTGTTAGCAATCGCTTTTTTAAAAAAAAACCCACATTATTTTTGTTTCTGAGCACTTAGAATAAGAAGCTCTGAGCAACAAATTCAAACCCTGAACATTCTGGAATAATAAAAAGAGTCTCTGGGACATCGTCAACCTGAAAAGCAGAGTTGAACGCTAATATTCCTCTAGCTTGTGTGTTATCAGAACAAACATTCATGAATGTGAGCTGCTCTTCCCTGACTGTGGCAAAAACTGTAGACAGATGGAAACAATGCTCATAGTGAAGACCACGGTGATGTCCAAGGCAAAACTTGCTTTGCTGGTTTCATACTTTCCTTCTTGAGATCAGTACATGACTGTAGAAGATACATTTAAAGCTTGGCTTAAGAGCTTGAGTGGCAGATGTAGTCAGGAGATGTGGGTCCCTGCATGGCCAGGTGGTTGTGGACCAATGAAGCATCCTGCCAAGGTGTCTGGCAGTGTTTCATTAGAAAATGTCTTCATTATCTACAGAGCACAGCAGTAAAAACCACTAGGAATTAAGCAAGGGACTAAGTCATTGTAACTGATCTCGTGGAAATCGCCTCCCTGCCTGAGAGCTGGGAGTCTTTTGCACGCTGATGGCTTGGGAAAACTGGACTACGGTGACAGAATTTGTTTTCAAGGGGTTCACGGATCGCCTTGACTTCCAAGTTACCCTCTTTGTCATTTTCCTGCTCATCTATGTCATCACTGTGGTGGGAAACCTTGGCATCATTGCTGTAGTCTGGCTTGATTCCCACCTTCAAATGCCCATGTACTTCTTTCTCAGCAACTTGTCCTTCTTGGATCTGTGCTACTCTTCAGTTGTGACACCCAAAATGCTGCTTAACCTCTCATCAGAAAGGAAGACTATTTCTTTCGCTGGCTGCTTCATACAGCTGTATTTCTACGCTGCTTTTGTAACTGTGGAGTGTTACCTCCTGGCCGCGATGGCATGCAATCGCTATGTTGCCATCTGCAACCCGCTGTACTACCCCATCGTCATGTCCCAGAAGGTCTGCGTTTCCCTCTTGGCTGGGTCCTACATAGCTGGGTTTGTGAATTCAGTGGTGCTCACGGGGTTTGCGCTGAGAGTATCCTTCTGCGGCCCCAATGTCATTGACCACTTCTTCTGTGATGGCCCACTGCTGTCAAAACTGGCCTGCTCTGACACCCGCCTCAACCAAGTGCTGGTACTTGCTTTTGGGGGCTTCAATGAGGTCACCACCATATCAGTCATCCTCATATCCTACGGCTGCATCCTATTCACCATCCTGAGGATGGGCTCTGTGCTGGACAAGTGCAAAGCTTTTGGTACCTGTGCATCCCACCTGGTCGTCATCACCATCTTCTACGGGACCCTTCTCTTCATGTACCTGCTGCCCAGCTCCAGCTACTCCCTGGGGAGGGACAAAATTGTTTCTGTCTTTTATGCGGTGGTGACCCCCATGCTGAACCCCTTCATCTACAGCCTGAGGAACCAGGAGGTGAAGAGTGCTCTGAAGAGAGCAGTGGGGAGAATAATTACTTCCCTGCTGAAGTGGTAAATGGTTTGACATTTAGGCAGTGATGGGAATGGGGGCTGTGTTTTGGGGTCTTCTTGAAATCGGAGAGAAGCGGTGATAATTCTTCTGTATATTATTGTCCATTTTGTAGTCCAGCTCTATCAATGTGGGATGAATTTGTTGTACATTTGCCTCTAGATAGTGCATTTCATAACAGGAGAAATATGTACTCGTTGAAGAACCACCAAAGGTAGATTTGTGAGGAAATGCGCTAAAATGTCTGGATTGTTTCTGAATATTTGGAGGCAAGCATGTGCTGGGTTTTCTCATGGACCTGCCATTCCTTAGGCAACCCCAAGTCACCTCTCTCTTGAAGGGAAATATGATGACAAGGCTCAGCCCTGTAAAAATAACACATTTGTGAGATTTCTGCTAAGGACTTGGACCATTTTCTTCTCAGCTGTCTTTGGCCTGAGCCTACTCATGGTCACCCTCTCCTACAGTTTGGATATCATTCATCAGCGCAGTGGACTACATCCCTACCAAGTGCTGTACCTCTTCCAGCCATGAGATGGGATCTACAGATTTAAGGTGAACTTCAGGGCTTCCAGGTAATCCCTATGACAGATGGGAGCATGCAGGAGAACACATGGAGCAGACTGAGGAGGCTTGGATGGGAGAGGAGGAAATGTTTCCCTAAAGCTGCAGGAAACAGGAAAGATTGAGAGGAACTTCTCCGAATCCTCTTCTTCCACAGTGACCCATCAAAGTATGTTCAAAGGTATTTTAAAATTTTTCTGCCTCACTTTAATCCTTCAGAATGTGTTTTATAGTGAAGAAATACTTCAAATGATTTGGTTAATGCACAATGTTAAGTATTGGACAGTGACAGTTCCTAAATGTACTGTTTAGTGGAATTTTTCAGTACATACATACAAACTTAAGGATGTACTGTAAAGCCATGGTGCATTAGTTGGAATAAACCTAATATTTCTAATTTTTTCTCTAATTTTCTCAAAGTGTGTAGTTATCTCTATCTGATAGGCCATTAGTTGTGGGATTTAACTGGCCAAATTCAAAGTTTAATAGGTAAACATTAAATCTGATCTTAGTCTCCTTCCCTAGCAGGAACAAAAAAACAGGATTCTTGTTAAAATAAACATGGGAAATGGCCTGGGTGAACTATGTTACATAAAGACGTAATGCTGCATAAAAATGTGGCATGATTCTTACATTTAATTTCAAGACATCTGAATTTGGGTGGGTTTCAGCCACCATAGCCTATGGGTCATATCACTTCCATCTGTCAGATTGCAGTTTATATACTATTTTCATGTGTGTTTTGTTTGCAACTCTTCCTTTCCATTTCTACCTCCATTCTAAGAGGAAAATTAATAGGCAAAAGATACCCTTAGATGCAGCAATACACAACACAGCATAGCTGACACAAGGGAGATGAAGAATTTGGGGATAAACATTTCAAAGGTTTATACCTAATTACCTGATAACTATTTGTGTAACTGCTTTCTACAAATTGTTTTTCCTTCTTGGTCACTCTCTTGTAAGAAGCAAAAGTTGTTTCTTTTGGAAATAACTGGAATGCGTGTTTTTATTTATCTTTTCAAGAAAGAAGGGGGTGTTTTGACTTGTACCTGGAAGATTGGTAATAAAGTGGGAACAAATGTGAATCAGTGGTGAAAGTGGTGGTACAGACTCCCCAGATATAAAGCCTGCTGTTCAAATATTGCCATTTGTAGAGCTACACCTGACCAAAACACCCAGCTGGGATCAGCACAGCTGTCTGCATTGCTCTCCTGTCAATATTTGGGTTTGCTGGTGCAGGTGCTGGTCTGTTGCTGGTTGTGCTGGCTCTGATCTTTGGTGCCATTAAAGGTTTCCTGCTGGGCTCCAGCTGCTCTTCCAAAGGTCATGGGTTCCTGTAAGTCCTGTAGCATTTCTGCCAGAGCCATCCCTTTGGCCAACTGAATCACACGGTTGGAGTTCAGACTGGAAGAGAAGCTGGGACATCTATAGCTCATGTGTAGGTCCATATGTCATGCTGACCTGGAGCAAGGTGAGCCCAAACCCATCCCGTGCGTCCACCTATTAGCCAGTCCTCTGGGCTCTCAGTAACACTGATGGAGAACTTGTCTGTTCGTGTGATGATGCGTGGGTCTCCTTTGGACATGGCAAATCCTCCTCTGGGCTACACCAACTCTGTTGACCCATCCAACTCTGTTGACCCATCCAACTCTGTTGACCCATCCAACTCTGTTGACCCATCCAACTCCACCTGAGATATCACAGGACATATGGACACAGGTCTGGCAGATATGGCATAAGATGTAGGGAGACTTGTGTCCTTTAAGGCAGCAGGAGAGATGTATGGTGGGTCTCAGATTGTCCTGGACACCCACATCTGAACAGCTGAACCACTACCTTTGTTTCTACTGACTGCAAAGAGAGCCTAGGCAGTCAGCTCATATGTCTACACTTGATGTTAGGACAACTGATAGATGAATGAATCCCACCTATGGATCAAATATGATCTATATATGAGCTGCTATTTATATGGTGACTCTAGCCATGCTGTCAGTTTAATCTAAAAGCATGGCCTTCTATTATTTAAAGGGAAAAATCAACTCTACCGAAAGAAATAGCGTGAATTGTAAACTCCTGAAAGTGTTCCAGACACTGAAGGAAGCTGGTATCTATTGAGTGTGGTGAGCAGAGACAAATTACACTAAAATTACAGTGAATATGCTATCAATTTTCTGCTAGCCAAAAAAAAAAAAAAAAAATTGCAGAAAGAACTGGATTAGCACCATCTCTTTTCAAAATGGGCTGTGATGAGATGATATTGATCTTGCAATAGAGGTGGAGCAGCAGAATGACCTGGCTCCCTGCAAAAGGGAGATAAAAAATGGGCAGTGGAGATACTCCTGGCAATATTGGGAGCATAGTAAAAAGGTTTAATGGACTGTCTATCAGTTGTGATCTGGCAGGTGGGTCCTGTATAGATGTCCCTGTTCTTAACCATCAGTAGCCTGGAAGCCTTTTAGGCTCATTCCTTGCCTGGAGGCTTGGGTCATCCTTCATCTCCTGTAATCCCAGCCATCTGCTCCAGGCAGCCATCCAGAGCTAATGATGACAGCCTAAGCAGCTTGCAATAGGTGTTTAAGATACTTGGAGTAAATTGCCCTTTGGATGCACCTTCTCACCTCCCCCTTGATTTTCAGAGGGGCTTGTGAAGAATAACTCATGCTCGTTTGGATCTCTACCTTTTCCTGTCCCTTGAGGCTGCCAAGTGTTGTAACGGTTTATTGGTATTTGTGACAATGATTAGCACAGGATTTTGCATCCTCCTGCATGCGTAGCGAAGCCTTGTATTAGCAGTTTAGACTGTTGCGACCCGCATGGCTTCTCATTAAGGAGCCAGCAGTAGACAATCAAGATCCACTTCTCTTTAGAGACTTGAGCTGTAGCCAAAGCCATGACAAACACTTCCTCCCTGAGGAGGGATGCCCGCTGCCCACGAAGAGCTGCAGAGAGGCATATAAAAGCAACACGTTGCTGCAAGTGAAGAACTTCAGCTGATGAAAATATGCAGGAGGCTCTCAAACGCTCAGGAGCGACATTCTTGTTTATCTGAGAGCTAGGAGGATGGCTTTGAGGGTTAGTCCCCCAGATTTACTTTGCAGCCATCCTGAGCCTGCAGTGTCACCCAAAGGGGAAGAGACCTTGCAGCTGGTAAGAGGAGGTGACCCCCATCCACAGGTAGGTGTGACCATTCCCCAAAAGGTCCAGGTGAGCTCTGCTGGGACTACCCTGCTTGGGTATAAATCACTGCAGCGATGTTGCCTTCGGAGAGGCTGCTCTGATTTACACCACGTAAAGGTTCGCTCCTCTGTGTTGGTTAAAGAAGAAATATTTCTCCTGGGCTGCACTTGGGATGCACTCTGGTATTTTTGAATTCAAAAGGTCAGAAATCATGGTGCTTATGGCATGTTTAAGGAGCCTGGGAGAAGAAGAGAGGAGAACACTCTCAAGGGAAGATTAACCCACTCACTGAGTGTGAAATAGTGATCTGCACTTTAAAAAGTAAAGAATATTTCTATAAAGGAGTATTCTGCTGATGGAGAATGGTTCTTCAATGAGTCTTCTGATCCTGGTGCTCATCTGGTGGGGTAAGGCTTTGATTCTCATCTTCAATCCTGTGAAGACTTAATTGTTCTGAATCTTTGTGTTATTGGGGACAGAAACTTGTATTTCACATTTTCATTAGGGCAAGCACCTTAACTAGGTGCCTAAACTTAGGCAACCGGAGTTGAGTGAGTTTGGCTCAGCACGGCTCCGTGGTCTCACCCGTGGCATTGACTCCTCTTCCAGCTGATGGGAGAGGCAGGAGCTTCTGGGGTTTTGCCTGCTGCAAACAGGGTGAGAGAAGTCCTCGAGGGTGCCCTAACCACCAGGACGCCATGCTGTGCCAGCACCAGGCTGTCTCTGAGAAGGTTTTCCTCCTCAGATGGCATCTTTAAAACAGCGAATTCCCAGTCTGGCTCTTTTTGACCCTTGACCATTCCCTTCCCTCATGCCTTCTGCCAGTGCTCTCAGCTGTACCTTGCTTTCACCTGGAAACGAGGTGCAATTCGCAGTCGGATGTGGCTGTTTGCGCACACTGGGGAGAGCACCAGGTGTGACTTTATATTCCAGCACAGCGTTGTGCATCCCACTTTTGTCTGGGCTTAGTCAGTATGTTACAGCTGATTCATGCTCATCAGCACTCACAGCTATCTCCTGACACTTGAATCACTTCTGTAAATCAGGTTTCATCTCCCAGTCCACTTCTGGAAATACAAGGCATGATTAAACTCAACAGCATATCAAATTGTATATTCTCTAATCGTACCAAGGGAATGTTTGATGCTTAGCCCCGTTCAAAATAACAGCTTCAGACCCAAATTTTGCTCGTGGTCTCCCTGGTTTCATTTCCCCAAGGTTTCTGAGACGCTAATATTAAACTCTTCAAGTCCCAAATGAGTTTTAGGATCATGCAACACCCCCTTCCTCTCTCCCTCCCTACTTCCCAACAAATTAAAGACTGGGTTTTTTTTCTTCACCTCGGTGTCTTTTTCCAAAACCAACAAAGGAAAGCTACAGTATTTTTGCTCTTACTCCAAGCTATTACAATTATAGCCAGAAGCTGCTGCCAAAATCAGAGCTGTCTTGTTCTGGGTGCCTTATCATGAGCAGTTTGAAATGGGGAGGAAGGGAAACAAATGTGGAGAAAAACTTAATCACAGGAGGTCAAGGGCAGAGCTGATGATTTGGTCTGTGTCACCTGAATCCCTGTCTGCTGCTATATCCATCAATCTCATCGAACTGTAGGTACCAAAATGGGATTCTGTGATACAAATGAACCTGCCCGAAGGTCTGCTCGCAGTGAGAAAGCGCGAGACCCTCCGCAGTGACTCGCTGCAGGTGGGGAAGGTGTTTGGGAAAGCTGGGATGCTCTCCCTTCAGAAGGGAGCTCCTCTTTCCTTGGATTATAAAGGAGGACGAGCTCAGAGCAGATGGCTGCAGTGCAGTCCATCCCACTCTAGCTCCCTAGAAATGAATGGTCCCAGCACCCTGGCAGCACAGGGAGTAAATTATCAAGTTATCCCATTTCAGTTCAAACAAATAAAGGCATGGTTTCTACTGTCCTGTATTTCCAGGTGCTCTCCTTCCTTGGTAGACATGAAGCCCTGAATGGCGGAGCAGAATCACACCTCAGTGGCAGAGTTTGTTCTCGAGGGCCTGAGTGACCAAGCGGAGATGAAGGCAGCTCTCTTTGTGCTGCTCCTGCTCATCTACACCCTCACCCTTTTGGGCAACGCGGGGATAATCCTCGTTATCCAAGGTGACCCACGACTCCACACATCCATGTACTTCTTTCTTGGCAGCCTCTCCGTTGTTGACATCTGCTTCTCTTCTGTGATTGCCCCCAGGACCTTGGCGAGCTTCCTATCGGAGAGGAAGACCATTTCCTTCGTTGGCTGCATGGGCCAAGCTGCCTTCTACATCGTCTTAGTGACGACTGAGTGTTTCCTGCTGGCCGTCATGGCGTACGACCGGTACGTGGCCATCTGCAACCCCCTGCTCTATTCCTCTGTCATGACTCGGAGGTTGTGCGTGTGGCTCGTGGTGGGGTCCTACATTGGGGGTGTCCTAAACTCCACCATACAGATGACCTTCATCGTTAGGCTGCCCTTCTGCAGCTCCAATGTCATCAACCACTTCTTCTGTGACGTTCCTCCCCTCCTGGCTCTGTCCTGTGCCAGCACCTACGTCAACGAGATGATCCTCCTCTCCTTGGCCGGTGTCATTGAGCTCAGCACCATCTCCACCATCCTGGTCTCCTACATCTTCATCTCCTTTGCCATCCTGAGGATCCGTTCAGCTGAAGGCAGGCAAAAAGCCTTCTCCACCTGCGCATCCCACCTGACAGCAGTGACCATGTTGTATGGGACAACAATCTTCATGTATTTACGTCCCAGCTCTAGTTACTCCCTGAACACTGACAAAGTGGTCTCCGTCTTCTACACGGTGGTGATCCCAATGCTGAACCCCCTCATCTACAGCCTGAGGAACCAGGAAGTGAAGGATGCTTTGAGGAGAGCAGCAGAAAGAATCAGTCAGGGTCTGAACCCTCCTCAATAAAACCTGATAGAGGATTTGTCTCGGAGGCTGTGGAGCCTCTGCCCATGGAGATATTCAAAAGTTGCCTGGATGAGGCCATGAGCAACCTGATGTGGCTGTGAAGACAGCCCTGCTTTGAGCGGGACGTAGAATAATTTTTGATCAGAACGGACATCTAGGAGATCTCTGGTCCAATGAATGGCAAGTTATACACATATATACATATATGTGTGTGTGTATGTGCAAAAATACAATATTAAATGGATATTATACCATATATTTATATATAATGCAGTGTAGTCTTGTGTTAAATGTGTATGCCAACACACCTATGCTACTGATTTCTCTTGTCACTCCATAGCCTCAATTTAGCTGTAATACCTGCTCAGTAAATGAAGGGATATGGGACATGCTGTTGTTGGTTTTAGTAGAAAAATGTCTATACCAGAGAAAAGCCAAATAATTTCATGGGCGGCATTGGGCACTCGGGGTGTCAATGATTTATGGGCTGGGTCTGGGAAGCATCTCCTGTGAAAAGCTCTTCCAAAGGATGGAAACACAAGATCTAAATGGATAAAATCTGAAGTTTTAATGCGGTGAGGGGTAATGGGCTATGGTGAATAAGCCAAGTGAATGAAATATAAATTCTTAAATAGGTCTCTCTTTGAAACCAGGCTGCTGAGTTAAATTGCAGGGTTAAATTGATCTTTGTCACTTCTTTTTAGGCAACCATACACCTTTCTCCTTTCATTCCCTCCCGCCTAATTTCTGCCTTTCAAAGCCTTGAAACAAAGCTCTAATTAGTTTTCTGATTTATACCCACAGCGGTTTGTTAAAAACAAAGACGATAATATTATCAGTAGGGTTTGCAGCCAGAGATTTGCACTTTGGTGTGGGGAAAAGGAATTAAAAAAAACCAACCAAACAAACAAAAAACCACACCCAACAAAAAAACCCAGAACCGCCCCCAGACCCTGAAACAAAAAAATAATTAAAAAACCAGTCTTTATTTCTTATGCAAGAAGCAATTCCTGCCA